GTGCCCTTCATGCACATGTTCCTCCTCCTCCCCCTCTACCTCCTCATGTATGTGGTTTCCTCAATGGTTCTGTTTGCTATTCTGTGAAGTTTCGACCCATGATAAGGCTGGAGCAAGATATCATGATTCAATGTATATGCACACATTCGCGTATTAGGAAGAAGAAGGAGAATACTAGGAACACAAATTTGATCAGGAAGAGCAGGCAGAAGAGTAAGTGGACCAGGTAGAGGAAGCCGGCAAGAAAGATTAAAGACGGAAGAGGAGGAGGAGGAGGAGGAAGAGGAGGAGGAGGAGGAGGTGGTGGTGGTGGTGGTGGAGGAGGAGGTAGGTGAGGAAAAGTGGAAGGAAACACAGGGTATTGTGAGGTAGCAGGTAACAATCGTTGAGAGTGGAACAACCTCTGACGATTTTTGATAGATCAGCTGAAGCATAAAGTAAGTTTTGCAGAACCTTATCCTCTTCCTCCTCACTTCCGCCACCGCCACCATCATCATCATCATCATCGTCGTCGTCGTCGTCATCATCATCACCGCTTCTCCTCCTCCTCTTTCACCTTCTCAGCGACGTAGATCATCTTGAGCATCCACAAGTGTCGCGAGCTTGTGTCACTGCAAGCAGCAAGTGAGGGCAAGGAGATCGCGACTAGTCTGAGCACCAGCTGAGCAGCTGCCCGGCAGTCTCGCTCCTCCACTTCTCGATCAACCTTGAAGGATCGGTCAGAGGAAGAGCAGGAGAAGAAACTTGAATGAAAGGAGAAGAGAGAGGAGAGGAGGGAGGGGAAGAGAGGGGAGAGGGGAGAGGGGAGAAGGGGGAGAAGGGAAAGGACGAGGGGAAAGAGGAGAGGAGAGGAGAGGAGAGGAGAGGAGAGCAGACAACATGAAGTACAATTAGGACAGCATGGGAGGTACAAACCTCTGTGGGTTCACGACCACTGTCAGTATGTCTGTCTCCCATAACCACGAGCGGACCTGCCTCATAGCATCACTATCCTCCTCGTCCTCGTCCTCGTCCTCATCCCTTTCCACTTTCTTCTCCTCTTCTCTGCTATTGCTCGTCCTCCTTACTGCCCATCCTCCTCCGCCTCCTCCCTCACCAGATTCTCCGATCTCAACACCCACAGCATCAGACTCGAGTGAGTTTTCCACACCTGCCACAAGATTTTATTCAACCCTCCCTTCCCCTGTCTCCTTCCCCATCCTCTTCCCTCCCATTTCCTCGTGTATCCTTCATCCCTTACTCTTCTTCCCCCCCCCCCCCTCCTCCCTCCGTCCTCTTCCCTCTCCTCCGCTCTGCCGCTTCTTCCTCTCCTTCTCCTCTCCCCGCTGACCTCAGGTGCGTTATAGAACATGAGTTGCATGCTTGAGCTCAGGTCGGATCTTTCTGCCTCAGCGCAGTCTGCCTGGCAGCAGCCGACAGCCTTCGAATCCTCAGAGCAGCTGAAGGCAGATGAGTGAAGAGTATGAGTGAGGAGGAGGAAGAGAGGAGGAGAGAGGAGGAGAGAGGAGAAAGAAAGGATAGTAGAGTAGGAATGAGGAAAAGGGGAGTGGGAGGTAAGGGGAAGTGAGGTAGGAGAAGCTATTTGGTTCAGCTCACCTTCTTAGTAGCTCGACTTCTTTTATGTTTTCCAGCGTGACGAAACAAAGTTTGAAGGTGAGTTCATCCAAGACTGGGATGAGGCTGCATAGGGAGAGAGATTCTCAGAACAAGATCAAGCATTGAGCAACCACAGACAGAGGATTGACAAATGAAGTAATCATCATCATCGTCGTCGTCGTCGTCATCGTCATCATCAATAAAAACAACAAAAACAGCAACAACAACAACAACAACAACACGAATTGCATCTCCATCACCACCATCCCCTCCATCATTGACAACGACAACGTCATCTACCTTATGGTACAAGTCCTGCTTGCTTCCAGCTTCCCCCCTCGTATCCTCACGTCTTCGATCTTCTGCTGCTTCCCTCGCTTCACCTCCTCCATGTAGTCCATTACGATCATCTTCGACCCGTCCTCCAGCCTCTCGCACAGGTCTGTCAAAGAGCATGCCATCTCCTCTCTGCAACTTCAATCAGACGAGATGCACACAGCCCTGTAGACGCCTCCCTCCTGACGCTCTCCTGTCCTGCTCCTTACTTCTCATCTCCTCCTCTTCTGCCCTCCTCTTCTGTCCCCTCTTCTGCCCTTACCCCTCCCCTCTCCCCTCCTCTCCTCTCCTCTCCTCTCCTCTCCTCTCCTCTCCTCTCCTCTCCTCTCCTCTCCTCTCCTCTCCTCCTCTCCTCCCCTCTCCTCTTCTACTCTTGTTTCTCTCACCCAAACATTTCTTCCAGCTGC